AATTAGGCACATAAGCACGCCTATAAAACAGGCAGAGGGTGGCCAGGCCAGTGCTCATGCACTGTAAGCGCCAGCAATTTAGGATGTGAGGCGTGGGGTGGGGGGGACCTCACTTGAGTCAGGAGTTCGAGACCAGCCTGGCCAACATGCGTGGAAACCGCGGCTCTCTCATTAAAGAATACAGAAAAGTTAGCGGGTGCTGGTGGTGTGCAAGCTGAGTCCAGCTAGCTCTCCAGGAAGGCTGAAGCAGGAGAACACACTTGAACCCTGGAGGTGGAGATTGTAGTCGAGCGTGAGATTGATGCCACTGCACTCCAGGCCTGGGTGAACGTGTGTGACTCCAGCTCAAAAAAAAAAAAAAAAAGGAAATAGTCTTTTTTTTTTTCTTTTTTTTTTTTTTTTTTAGACGGAAGTCTTGCCTCTGCTGCACCCAGGCTGGAGTGCAGTGGCGCGATCTCAGCTCACTGCAAGCTCCCCGCCGGGTCACGCCAGTTCTCCTGCCTCAGCCTCCTGAAGTAGCTGGGAACTACAGGCGCCGGCCACCTCGGCCCGCTAATTTTTTCTTGATCTTTATCGTAGAGAGGGGTTTCACCGTTGTAGCCAGGATGGTCTCGATCTCCTGACCTCGTGATCCGCCCGCCTCGGCCTCCCAAAGTGCTGGGATTACAGGCTTGAGCCACCGCGCCCGGCCCTTTTTTCTTTTTTCTAGATTTTCAAATGCAAAACAGAACTCAGTTCCATTATTAAGAAGCTACATATATTTATTCATTATAAGGAAGTGAGTGTGGCTGTTGTAGTAGCTTTAAGGGGGAAATAAAAGAATTTGACATAAAGTTCATCTAAGCAGCAAGAGAATCCTGAAAGGATGAGAAGACCCTCTGCTTAAAATGATGAATGGTCCTTTCTGAGATAAGCATATGTGATAACCATGTGACTTCTGGTTAAATGCAGATGGTACCTGACCCACCCCTTATCACGTCCCCATCTCTGAGCCTCACCTAGTCTTCACTCACATACATTCTCAACCCCCCACATCTTTTTGTTTTGTTTTGAGACAGAGTCTTGCTCCGCCGCCCAGCCTGGAGTACGGTGGTGCAATCTTAGCTCACTGCAACCTCTGCTTCCCAGGTTCAAGTGATTCTCCCGCCTCAGCCACCCGAGCAGCTGGAATTACAGGCACCCACCACCACACCCAGCTGATTTTTGTATTTTTAGTAGAGATGGGGTTTCATGACGTTGGCCAGGCTGGTCTCGCACTCCTGACTTCAAGGGATCTGCCCGCCTCAGCCTCCCAAAGTGCTGGGATTACAGGTGCAAGCCACCTTGCCTGGCACCCCAACATCTTTCCTGGACCCCTCCTACCTGTCTGCTTATTCCTGTTCAGTCCCTTTTCAGGATGTCTTTTCCTCCATCTATTGACTTAACATCCTGAGGTTTTTGTCTTTAGCCCAGTGTTCTTCTTACTTTACTCTGATCCCTGGGTGATTTTACATGTGTCCATGGTTGGAACATATCACCTCTACCTTGATAACCCAATCTATATTTCTAGCCTCTTCTGATCTCCATCTCTGTGTGTTCAACTGCCTACTGCTGAAGGTCATTGCGTATCTCAGTATTCCTCAGACAGATCAAACTTGACATGTCCAAAACAGAGCTGATTATTTTGAACCCTGGTTCTCTTATGGAACGCCATCACCAATGCCCACTCTACAAAGCCAGAAATTTGGGCCTCATTCTAGATTTCTCTTTACACTTCACAACCTCACACCAAGTCTCTACCAAGTCTTGTTGATATTTACCTACTCAGTATTCAGCAAATCTGTCTCCTCTTCCCTATCTCAGCACCTATTTTACCTCTTGCCTCGATCATAAAATCTTCTGTGATCTGGCACCTGCGTACCTCTTCAGCCTCATCTCCCCCTGTTTTTTCCCCAAGCTTACTCCAAATGCTAGCCCAGGGGCACAACCAGGTTTTTCCAGCCCTTATGCTTATGCAATTTGAAAGACTCTCTGAGGAAAATAATACAACGTTGTGATTGAACATTAGTTACAGAGCTTTGGAAGGGGCCTGTGCAATCTTCATTAGCTTCACAGTGACTCTGCCCTCTGTCTAGCCAAAGAGAGCAAGCTGCACTTCCCTAGAACGTACCAGAATCCTGCACATCACTCACTTTGCCTTTATACAGGCAGTTAATTCTGCCTGAGATGCCCCTCTCTCCCTTCCCTTGTCTGTCTGGCAAAACAGTTCATCCTTCAAGAGTCAGCTCCGGAGGCACATCCTTTGTGAAGGCTTCCCTGACCTCACTACGTAGAACTGACTGTTCTCGCCTTTGGGTTCTCGTTGTAACTTGTCGTTTATCTCTTTGTACCCTGTCCTTTACAGAACATCTTAAACTCTATGGAAATTATTTGCTTAAAACCGGTTTTGCCTGTGAGTGCCTCAAGGGCAGAGACTAAGCCATTCCTTTTTAGATGGTCAGAACTCCACAGTACCTGGCGCAAGGTGGGAGCTCAATAAAAGTTTGCCGCATGGAATTGAGACCTGACCCATGTATATTAGAAAGACACCCTTCTTTTGGCAAAGTGAGTGGAGTGGAACAGTTGCTGTAGACAGGGACACTGGACGGGGCCGATGCTTGGGGAGGTACCTGCTGCTGCCCACACCATTCTGGGAGGACAGGCCCGGGCCTGATAACTGTGCTGTCTTCAAGACCCACATGGTGAGTTCCTCTGTGCGGCCCTCTACCAACCTCTCCACCTTTGCCACCCCACCGCCTTCCTTACCTGTCCTCTTTGTTGATCTGGTCTCCAAAGCCAACTGTGCTAACGATCGTGAGCTTTAGCCTCACGTTGCTCTCTTGGAGGTCATAGGTATTAGACTGGAGCTGGACGCCCGGCTGTGTGTGGGTGGCTGGCTCCCCTTCGAACTTGGTGTTGAACAGGGTGTCCATGAGGGTGGACTTGCCCAAACCTGTCTCTCCTGAAAAGCAAAAGGATAAATTATGGTCTGTTCACATAGTGACTATTCAGCCCTTACACATCATGTCTCAGATACACATTTGTTGACATGGGAAAATGAACATGATAAAACATAAAGCAAAAAGCAGATAGAAGCAGATGAACTGTATGATCTCAGTTAAATGAAAAAGACTAACAGGAACGATACAGATGGATCAGTAGTAGTTATCTCAGATAGTAGAATTGAGGTAGTTTTCATTTTATTCTTCCAATTTTTTTTCTGTCATTTGGAAATTTTACCTTGAGTATACACTGCTTTTTTTTTTTTTTTTGAAATGGAATCTTGCTCTGTCACCCAGGCTAGAGCGCAATGGTGCGATCTTGGCTCACTGCAACCTCTACCTCCCCGGTTCAAGTGATTCTCCTGCCTCAGCCTCCCAAGTAGCTGGGATTACAGGCGCCCACCACCATGCCCGGCTAATTTTTGTGTTTTTAGTAGAGATGGGGTTTCACCATCTTGGCCAGGCTGGTCTCAAGCTCCTGACCTTGTGATCCACCCGCCTCGGCTTCCCAAAGTGCTAGGATTACAAGCGTTAGCCACTGCACCTGGCCGAGTATACATTGCTTTTATAGTCAGAAAAAGAAATTGTTATAGGCAGTGATGGAGAGGTATAGCTATGCCTAGAAAAAAAATACTGGAAGGAAATACAATATACTCATCAATGGCTATCTCTGAGTGGTGACCTTATGTGTGGTTTTCATCCCTTTCTTTATGCTTTTCTATATTTCCCAAGTTTTCTAAATGGAATATGTATAGTTTTTGTCATAAAAATTAAAGGAGTATTTTAATTTTTTTTTAAAAAGGACAGCAGTGGCCAGGCGTGGTGGCTCACGCCTATAATCCCAGCACTTTGGAAGCCTGAAGCAGGCAGATCACTTGAGGTCAGGAGTTCAAGACCAGCCTGGCCAACATTGTGAAACCCTGTCTCTACCAAAAAAATATATTATACATACACAATTTAGCCATGCATGGTGGCAGATGCCTGTAATCCCAGCTACTGAAAGGCTGAGGCAGGAGAATTACTTGAACCAGGGGAGGCGGAGATTGCAGTGAGCTGAGATCATGCCATTGCACTCCAGCCTGGGCAACAGAGTGAGACTCCATCTCAAAAAAAAAAAAAAACAGTGGTCCCTTGTCAAACAAATATCCTCTCATTCCAGTCCCCGCCTCTCCTCCCTGCCAAGCCTAAACAGCCTTCTGGGGATGCCCAGATGTGCCTCCCAGTGGTGAAAACTATGCAGGCTCCTGGCTTATCCTCCCATCCTGGTTGAATGGTTGAACTTTCGGTGAGACCATTTTTAACTAAGAGGGGTGGGGTGGGGAGACTTAGCAGGCCACAAAAATTCTTCTTCTTTTTTTCTTTTTTTCTTTTTTTTGATACAGCGTCTCGCTCTGTCATCCAGGCTGAGTGCAGTGGCGCAGTCTCGGCTCACTGCAGTCCCTGTCTCCTGGGTTCAAGTGATTCTCCTGCCTCAGCCTCCCAAGTAGCTGGGATTACAGGCGCCAGCCACCATGCCTGGCTAATGTTTGTATTTTTAGTCGAGATGAGGTTTCACCATGTTGGCTCGGCTGGTCTCAAGCTCCTGACCTCTGGTGACCCACCCGCCTCAGCCTCCCAAAGTGCTGGGATTACAGGCATGAGCCACCGCGCCTGGCCCTTATCCTTAAATTTTAAACAAACTAGCCATTTATTTGTTTAACTACTAGGCTGCGAGATACTAATAAATCAAACCATTGGAATTTTTAAAGTCTTGAACTTCACACTGGGGAAACAAGTAGGGAAAGGGCTGTGGCAGACTGGTGAAGGTTTTGGGAGCTTATTCCTGGGAGATCAAGGGATAGCAAGCCACTGTCAGGAGCCAATGAGACTTCAGGGAATGGGACATCACAAGAAGTCTGGAGTTGGTGACAAGGGAGCTAAACAGGAATCTGATATGAGGCCACAAACTGGGCTGGGCACTAAAACTGCTTATAATCTCTACAGATCCAGGCTGTATTTGACCCCTGAGCCCACCCCAAGTGACTCAGGAATACCAGGAATTAAGGAGTCAGTAGAGAGGCGGGCACTACGAAGAGAGGATATCATTAATTACTCTGGCCTGCCCTTTGAAGACAAAGACTACCCTCCCGTTTATTCTGCTATCATCATCCCTGTTTTTCCCTCTCCTCTCCCCAGCCCAGGGGGGATGTGAGCCTTGACTTCTCTTCACAGTCGGGACTGGGTTTGCATTGGGCAAATTGTGGCCTGCCAAATCCCACCTTGGGACCAAAAGCACACATCTGCAGGGTGGTTCAGGGCTAGGGTTAGAGCTAAATGACGTAGAACTGAAAATGCTCCATCTTCCCTCCCCCTCTGGGTGTGTCTAGCCTGCTTCTTTTTTTTTTTTTTTTTTTTTTTGAGACAGAGTCTTGCTCTGTCACCCAGGCTGGAGTACAGTGGCGTGATCTCGCATCACTGCAAGCTCTGCCTCCCGGGTTCACGCCATTCTCCTGCCTCAGCCTCCCGAGTAGCTGGGACTACAGGCGCCCGCCACCATGCCCAGCTAATTTTTTGTATTTTTAGTAGAGATGGGGTTTCACCGTGTTAGCCAGGATGGTCTTGATCCCCTGACCTCGTGATCTGCCCGCCTCGGCCTCCCAAAGTGTTGGGATTACAGGCGTGAGCCACCGCGCCCGGCCTAGCCTGCTTCTTTTATCCCAAATAATGAGCTATGAATGCAGGAGGTGCCTTTTAAAATATCTGTGTATGATGAGAGTTTTCTGTGTGTGGACAGAGAGAAGGAGAGAGAGAGAGAGAAGGGATAAGAGACAGGAGGGAGACAAGGAGAGGAAGGGAGAACAAGGAGAACATTCAATTCAGTCTGGCTACCCGGCCCCCCAGCCCAATTTCATAGCCAGGTCTGACTAACTTGGTAAATTGCCAGAGTGTGGGGAAATGGTTCCTCACACAGATCATGTTTCAAACCAGGGTCTGCTATATCCATTAGCAGCAAAGACTCTTGAAGAAGAGGCCCCCTTTTTCCTCCCCTAAAGAAACAGGAAGTATTTGGGTCCCAAGAAGAATTTTATGAGGTGGGGCCTTTGCCATGGGAGGTGGCAGACTTGGCCAAGCAGTGGAATGTATCACACCCCACCTCACCCAAATTTGGGGTGCACCTTAACTGCAAACGGGGCCAGCACCTTAGAGGTAGGAGCACAGTGTGGCTCTCACATCCTAACTCACCTCCCCTCTCAAGGGCACTGAGGTTTGAGCTACAGTTTAACTCATCTTCTTGTATGCCTGATGAATTTTCCATGTACATCCTTACCCCCAACTCCCTCCCATGGAACAGAAGGGAGCTCATGGAACAGAACCATCCTTACCCCCAACTCCCAAACCCTTCTGTTCCATGAGCTCCCTGCCGAATGCCCTGTAGCTCCTAGGGAGTGGGGGTCCTATTTCCCTAGCACCCAGAGTGGGCACCCTGACTCCCCGATCCTAAGAATTCTCAGAGAGCAGGAGATGGGGCATCTTCCAGTACCCCCAGGAGTGCCTAACCCAAGGTTCACACAGAAGGCCTCAGGGGCAGCAGCGCAGCGTGAGGGACCCACCCTGTTTGCACAGCTGGAGGAATGGGGGCCGGGCAGGGCAGGACAGGGAGCTGGGAGGAACAGCAGGAGAAATGACCACCCAAACGCCTGCTGGCACAAAAGGGCTGTGGAAATTAGATGCCAAATAACGAACGTCTGGAAGAAAAGAACACCCGGGTGTCTGGGGAACTGAGATAAATGCAACAGTAGAGAGGGCAGAAAACCAAGCAAGCTCGTCCTATGGCTATCGAGAGCTCCTGTTCCAGTTTTCCATCAGTGTGGAGCCTGGGGGTCGGGGAGCCTTCCTCTCAATGACTGGCACAGACCCAGCCTGAGCCGAGGATGCTGCCCCTCCCACAGCTGCCCTGGGTCCAGTACTGAGTGTGAGTGTGTTGTGAGGGGGAGGCACACATGACCTAACTGGGATCGGGTCAGCAGATTCCACGCCCCTGCAGGAAGGTGGGGACTTGGCAATTAGATTCCAGCAGGAAACCTGAGGAGTCCCGAGGGGTCAATTTCTCACTCCTCTTCCCCCAGCCCTCCCAGAGCTCCTCTGAGTGGATAGTAAGGTTTTTAATGCATGCTCCACCAGCCAAGAGGCTTTCATCTCACTTTGCTTAATGTAGATAGTATTCTAGAAACAACAGTTTTAAAAACATTTTTAAGCATATATGAGTACTATGAAATATGTTTTTTTCAAACTATACTCTTGCAGGGCACGGTGGCTCAGGCCTGTAATCCCAGCACTTTGCGAAGTCGAGGCGGGTAGATCACCTGAGGTCAGGAGTTGGAGACCAGCCTGGCCAACATGGTGAAACCCTGGCTCTACTAAAAATACAAAAATTAGCCGGGCATGGTGGCGGGCTCCTGTAATCCCAGCTACTCGGGAGGCTGAGGGTGGAGAATCGTTAGAACCCGAGAAGCAGAGGTTGCAGTGAGCCAAGATCTCACCACTACACTCCAGTCTGGGTGACAGAGCGAGACCCCATCTAAGAAAGGAAAGAGAGAGAGAGCGAGAGCGAGAGCGAGAGACAGAAAGAGAGAGAAAAAGAAAAGACTTCTAGCCAGGTTATTGCTAAGTTACTGTGTGACATGAACTGAGCCCTTTCCCCTCTCTGGGTCCCAGTCTCTTTTTCTATAAAATGAGAGGGTTGGTAATAACGGCTATTGTTTACAGTCACTGCTGTAAGTTTTTTACATATATTTTCTTGTTTATTCCTCACAGCAAGCCTATGAGGTAGATGTTACTATTTGTCCTCAATTTACAGATGGGTTAACCAAGCCACTTACTAGCTCTGTAAATTTGCACCAGTTCCTCAGCATCTCTGCTCCTTACTTTCCTCATCTATAAAATGTGGAGGGGCCTGGCACGGTGGCTTATGCCTGTAATC